TTTTCAATAAAATACAGACACCGAAAGTGACAACAGAAACTAGAGTTGGTGAAGCCCAAAACAGAAAGGCTATTGCTGAACTAGTATAGAGGTATTTCCTCAGCCAGTTTCTCTCAGTCTCTCTAAGTTGAAGAAGCTTCTTCAAAAATGTTGGTTCCCATGAATACAGTTTTAAGACTCTCCTGCTTTTGAGAGTCTCTGAAGTTGCTTTGATTCTTGAGTCCTTAGCTTCCATGATCCGGGAGTGGAGCCTTTCTTGCTTACTGGCCAAAGGAGTGTTGCTCACCATCACCAGAATTGTAGAAGAGAGGGCAGCAATTGAGGGGGCAGCACCAAGGTTTATATACAGGATAACAAGGGCTAAAAACACCTGGAATGGTAGCAGCCAAACCCCATGGATGTTCCAACAGAAGTCACCAATTCTCTCTACATCAACATTAATCATATTTATAATTTTGCCATTGCTTGATCCTGCAAACTTCACTGATAAAGATTTCTTGTAAACCAGTACTGAGAGAGCTGCCCTTACTCGTATGCCAATACGCTGAGTACCAAAGTACCATTGCCGCTGAGTTACGGACTCAACTGTCTTTGAGAAAAAGAAGATGAATGCAAGAACCAACCCATGGATGTGGCCTGAATCATCATGATCCTCCGACAAAAAATTAACGAAGTTGGTGATCAAAAGAGGACCCGTATAGGAGGCAATTGTGTTTACTCCTGCAGAAGATGAACAGAATTAAGCACAACAAACCTTTTAAGAATCTATAGATTGATGGAAGATTAAGCAAAGAGATACCTGCGAAAACTCCATTTATAATCAGGGATTTCCGAACAGCATATGCTATGGCTTTTGGCAAATTCAAAGTCTCTTTTTTATTTTTTCCAAACGAATCTTCAAGCAATGAGGAAGCATACTTCGCTGTTTCTGATGCTGGAATTGGAGGAACATGAGATAGCTCCAGTTTTTCTATCCTTCCGCTACTAAACAGCGGGTTTAGCCATTTAAAAGTAAGTTTGCTCCAAATTCCAGCATTCCTATAACAACTTGAATCTTTGAACAAACTCTCATGCTTTTCTTGGAGCAATGGGGTTTCAAGGTCATCATGTGTCTTGATACTACAACTGAATGTTACAGCATTGAAACAAAGCAGTAGTAACAGTGGTAAGGAAGCAAAATCAGCAACATTAGCTTCAGGCCAGGGATAAGGCAATTCTATGGAACTGAAACGGGTAATCAAATGAATGGAAACAGAGAGTGAATCAAAAATGCAGTAAAAGACCCACCAAAGAATAATGACCAAGGGCATCCTGTTGTCTTCTCTAAGAATTCTGTTTTCGGAATAGCAAGCAACTAGAGTAGCTAAAATCCAAGTCATAGATAAGAAAACAGATTTAGAAGTGATAATTCTTAGTTCCCAATACTCATAAAATCCAAAACCAAGGTACAAGATCGAGATTATGACGTTAGGAAGAACAGTGAATATAGTAAACAGCACTGTAAATTGTTTCGCTGCTTCGAGTTCTCTGCAGCGTAAATCACCACCACCTCTCCTTCTTTTCAAGATGTCTATCAGCAACCATGCCACTAACAGAATGGAAAATGCTGCATAGACAATCTCTACAGAAATCTCCATTCTAGTCCCCAGCTCAAAAATCCCCATTTCAACTAAATTCTCACACAAACTAAATCAAAGACAAAAGCTGACAAAAGGAAGCCTAGAAAGAAAACGACCAGAGAGAGTCTAGACAATGTTTAAGACCTGCAATAACATCCTGCTCTATGTTATCGATAAAAACAATGACAACCCAGTTGGGACACGAAGACAGAGACAACAAAACAACAGAAATGACACTAAAAATCTCCTCTCCGAAATTAGAAGGAAGAAATGGATCGGTTTCTTTGAGTCTCGAAAGAAAGCAACCCTGCCTCCAAAGCATGTAAGAAGCACGTGTAACTTTAAGGATGGCAACAGAGTCTAGACAATGTTTAAGACCTGCAATGACATCCTGCGATGACTTAGGTGGAAGGAGTCAAGTGGTGTCAGATATCCAGTCTTAAGATTCGTATAAATAAACATATAAAAAAAAAAAACCAGTCACAATCATGGCATCATTACAATCTTTGTCTAAGGAATATGTCTTGATCATAAACTTACAAGGACCAGAACAACAATGTGGCCGGAATCTAAATACTCTCTGCACTGTCTCATTAAAAATTTCTAGATAATTCGCTTTTATTAAGAAAGACAATTATTTATTCATTTTCATAAGTGTCAGGAATCAGGATCTCTTAAATTACGTTGCCATTTGAAGGACATAAGCTTTGTTTCTCCCTGCTTCTTTTACACGTAATTCTTTAATCCCACCATACAATAATCTACTTTACGATAAGGTTCCTGAATTTCATTTTTTGTGTTGCCGATGTGATGATAGGTGTGGTTTACGCAGACATAAATGCTCCTATCCTATGACCTGTTATTTTCCTTTTATACAATTCATTTGGAATTTCCCAAATACAATTTAGCCTTTAATGTAAGTAGTTTTCTTTCTTTTTTTATATCTATATAAACTTCCCATTACAAATATCTTATTTTTTCAGTCATTTTATTCGGGATGGCGGAGTATCAAGAGGGATTACCCACCGTGCAGTGCTTTTTCAACAGCAATAAATTCTCGGGAGGAATTTTTCCTTCTTTCTAGGGCTTTTTTATATATTTTTACATGTGGAATCAACGCAACTTTCAGTCGAGTTTATGGCTTCCCTTCACGCACACGCACAATGATAAGCACTAGTCCAACTATCACGGTTCTTGTCCTGTCGTTATATCTGAGTAAGCAAGCATATCCAGATCATCAGAATTTGTCCAGTCCACTAATGCTGATTAAATTAGTCGTCTACAGTCTTGGTGGGCCGATTAGTGTTTGTGTGAACTATCCACTTGTAATTCAATTCCTCCCGCTCCTCTACTCGAAACATCCAAGAAGCATGGCCTCTATTACAAATACATTGCAGGTTGGCTTCTTACTTTCTTGGAAACCAGGATATTGCAGCCTGTTTTCTATGACTATGATAGTGATATCAGTATACTTTTGTTGAATCTTCTTGATGGGATACATGCAGTTCAAACTTAAACTACAATTATGAAACATGTTTTCTTTTTCCCTTATCAATCACCAACTTAAACAGCAAATTGTGATGAGAGATGGTGGACAAACCCGTGCTGTGAACCCCCACACGCCTAGGAATCCATTGACCTGACATTATGCCCACAGAATCCATTTACTTTATCAAGGAATATAACGACAAGGCTTTAGAGCGCATAGAGATGATCAAGTGAATCTGGCCGTTGATCAGCTAGTGGTCTTGCATGGGGTCACATTCTATACGGCTATGGTTTTGTCAGCAAGGATTCTCCTCTCTCATAGACTCGTGGCTCACCTCATGCCAGTTAAATCCTGCATCTTTTTACCTCAGCAAGGCATGTGCTGGGTTGCCGTAGGCGTGTGGAAAGTACAAGCAGTGACTCTCTAGCTGTGCGCGCTGCTCGTGTTAGCGTTAGGTAGCGATGACTGATAATTATTTGGTTAGTGTTAATTTTGCTTTTAAGTGAAAATATTGTATACATTTTTTCATTTAACAATTTTAATTTCTCAATTTAGGGTTTTTGTTAGAATTCCTTCACATTACCTAACATCAAATACTAAATTTCTTATACAGTGAGAAGTTATTTTAATCAAATATTACATTCTGGACAGAATTCTTAATCAAATATAAATAAAAAAGTTTCAACAATATATAAATAAAAAAGTTTCATGAACATATTAACTTCATGGAACTCTTAAATCTAAAAAGGGTGGTGTTTTCTTTGATATAAAATTATTTATATATTTGATATTATAATATTTTTTATCGTTACAGTTTTGAAAAAATAAATTACAAAAATATTTTTAGTTATTATTTTTTAAAAAATATATTTAAAAAATATATATTTTTAGTTAAAACTATTAAGATGTGAATTTTACATGCAAAATAAATAAAAAAAATATATTTTTAAAATATTTTGAAACACAATTATACGATGCAGTATAAAAAATAAAAATTATTTAATTAATCAAAACAAATTTTATCATTGAACAAAAAATAAAAACTGATACTATATACCAAACAGTATCTATATATATTTGGTATAATTGGTGCCCCAGTATTTGAGTTTTTGTCTTCTACTCTCAATTTTAATATTCAAGAATGTAATCCTTCAATCTTTGTAATCAGGTGATTTTGTTTGATTCTACTAAGCATACGCTAATGTATTCCAAGAGTATAAAAACAGTTCATTTTATTTCTAATCGAGTTTATGTATTTTTTTTATTTTAATTTGAATGTATTTTTTTATTTTTTTGTTATCCGAGTTTCTTATTTTAAAAACATATTAAGGGAGTGTTTCCAATTTTAAAAGTCAATCAATAACCAATTTATATAATTATATTCAAGAAAGATGGTAAGTTCTTCTTGACAAATATAATGATATTAATCTCATGTCTTTACAACACTAAAAAGATTTTAAATTTAATTTTAAGATTGGATTTTAATAATTTAATATTTATTTTAAAGATGGATATAAAACAGATTTTTATATCTCAGATTATCATTATTAATAATAAGTCATGCTTTTTTTGTTTTAAAGTGACACTCTTATTATTTTAAAAAATAATAATTAAAATATTTGAATCCATGCTTCAATAGTTTAAATTATAATTAATAATATTTTATAAGTTACTGTGATGTTTTGAAAATTAATAGGAAAGGGCAGCCAAGCCCTTGGTGGCTTAAAGAGTAAGTATAATTAAATGAGAGGTATTGTGGTAATTGAATAATAGTTAATAAATATACATGGGAAGAAAAAGAAACAAAAAGAACAAAAGGAGGGACCTGTGTTTTTTAGAGCAAACTGTGAAAGAGAAGGGAGAAGAAAGAAGAAGAAGAAGAAGAAGAAGAAGAGAAAAGAGGGGACAAGAAGGGAAAAGGAAGAGATTGAGAGTAAATAACTTTAAAAGTAAGATTTAGGTTGTTAAATGTATAAATGTATTCCTTAAACTTTAAATTTTTGTTTTGATAAATATTAGGGTTTTGAAAATTTGTGTTTTGGGTTAATTGATGAATTAATTTGAATGTTATAGGGTTGATTACTATGGGTAATTGATTATTTAGTTAATTATGAAAGATTGTAAGTAAAGATGATGATTTTGAGTTATGATTTGTGTAAATGGTGAATTTTGAGTTAGAAGTCTGGAAAGAATAATAGGTAATCTATGAACAATTCTAGGTTTAAGGTTAAAGATGATGAAAATTCATTTTGGTCCCTCAATTTGTGGAAATTACAGTTTAGTCCCTAAACTTTGGGAAAACTATAATCTGACCCCTAATGGTATTTTGAGATTCTGGACAGTGTTATTAT